GGCCTTCTTCCCCAACCAAAAAACATTCCTTCACGAACCACAGACAGATTTCTGTCCCATCTCCAGCATAGCTCGATCCTTCGCTACCCGCCATTCTTCCTCCTCGCAAAAACCAGAAGCTAGGTTTTGCGCCCCTCGTTGGACGGTCGCTTCTCCCTCCGGCGCCGCAGACAAGCTGCCTAGGGTACGCGCATTCTTCTGCTCGTGTTTTGATGGACATTTTCCCCTAGTTAAATTCACGGAAATAATAGAAACAAATTAGTGAAGGCCTTAGTGAATGGATATTCTGACATTTCCGCTGACGCTTCTGATTTTAGCCTGCTGAATCCGCCTGAACTGCGAAGCTGGAAAGGGGTATTTTGATCTCTGCCCTTTCAACACGTCTTAAGCCCGCATTACTCTCCTCAGTCACCGGCCTCCTTCGGGATTATATAGTTATACTACAGTACTATGCCAATATAAACAACGGTTGGGATTCAGGCCACCATGAAGGGTAGAAATTCATACATTAATCTCAGTTCCTACAAGTAGGTAATAATGAAGTTGAAGTAAAATCCATGCCCATCCAAAGGAACTCGATTTGGTCCATATCTGTCCAAACAAGATCCTATTTTACTAAGGCCTTCACAATTCACGGAAACTAGCCTTTTCACGGTACATTTTTTATACTGTTGCAGGAATCATTAGTCCTAGCATATAAAAACAAGTTTGCGGAAATGTATCGACAAATTAGTGAAACAACTGTTGTCTAGCCTGTCAAAGCTGGTTAACTGTTTTCTGCTGTTTGAACGATATCAAGTTGATCTTTGATGTATTTCATAGTATTTTTACAGTAGTGAAGATAAATTCCTGTTATAAGTCGATATGTTTTCTGTAATTTGTCAGGTGTGGAAACTAGCCATTCCTGCCTTTTGGCAGTTGATTCCGGGCCTATTATACTTTTAGTGTGAGCTAAGATTCATACTTGAGGTTAAATTATATGCTAGGACTGCTGATTGTCGATCTCTGGCAGCCAGCAATGTTTACCTGCAGACCACTGGAATCCTGCAATGTCATATGTTTGATGGCATTTCTTTCGAAGCAAACCATTTGTCAAATTGTTTGTGCAATGAAAAGTATAGTTAAAACCTTTTGTACTCCCTCCGATCCATATTACCTGTCGCCCAAAAGGATGCATCTAGTGTAGACTTATTTCAGTGTTAGATATATCCATTTGAGTGACAAGTAATATGGATTGGAGAGAGTATCATTTTTTCTTAGTGCTTACTTTCTTTTCCCCCCACCTTTTAATGACAGAAACAAGGTTGCGTTCTCCTTGGGCGTACTGAACTCCTGACTGTCTTTTGTCAGATATGGTAACCGAAGAATATGATAGTAGCTATGATGTTGACATTGATGAGTTATTTATTTCAATGAGGACAGATTTAAATCGCCACATGTCGCAGGCTGAGGATCGTGCAAATGGAAACAGGTGTTGCCTGATATGCAAAATAGTGCATCGCATTCGCCTGACCGACCGTACCGCGTATGAGCCGAGCGCTCTCGCAATTGGTCCTTATCACCATGCAGATCCACCACTTCAAGCTATGGAAATGGAGAAGTGGATATGTCTACACTACATTCTTGATTTGAATCGCGATGTTAGGTTGCGTGACTACCTGAGCTTGATTTCTGGACTAGAGAACGAAGCAAGATGCTATTACACCGAGGAGATAAGCATGGATAGTAGAGAGTTCCTGCAGATGCTTCTGCTAGATAGCTGCTTTATTCTGGTGTACCTTGGTCGTATCAATGCACAAGGAGCTTCTGTTGGTGGTGAACAATTGAAAGAAAACAGAGCATACGAAAGAAAGAAGGAACCAACGGAGTTGAGCCAGATCAATACAGCCTGCTGCCCAAGTGTTAGTGGGCACTCAGCGGTGGACATAGAACTAAATCAATTTGTTAAAGATCCTGAGGGTAGCCCTGACCAGGGGATTTGCAGCAGTACTGTGGAATGGTATAACAGTTCTGCTGTCTATGATCTACTTTTGCTGGAGAACCAAATTCCCTTCTTCATTGTCAAGACAATTTATCTGTTCTTCTCATGCAATGTAACAACTACTTCGTTACTTACCGACAGCATTTCAGAATTCATGGAAGGCATTCTTTACCACTTCCCTAAAGTACTAACTGAGGCAAATAGGCCAAAAGATTTCTACCATCTGCTTCACCTGTGTCATAAGTACCTGAAACCTAGTCACAATCTGGAGGATGACCATCATAGATATGCTGCAAATTTTCACTGCTTGCACTTCATATTTGACATCAGCCGGAAGATCTTCACTTTTGGACGGGTGCAAGGAATGTCCCATGACCAAAACATGTTCCATGAGCTAGATTGGTCGAATTCAGTACAGAAATTTAATCGGTGGCTTAGAGCAGTGGACTATCATGAAGCAGGAATGCAGTTCAAAAAGCGGGAGTTTGACGAAGCCAAACCTCATTCCCTGTTGGACATTAGATTCAGAAACGGTCTCATGGAAATACCATGCTTGCCAATAGATGACAAGTCTTCTTTGCTTTTCAGAAACCTTGTAGCTTTTGAGCAAACCTGTCCTCAAGTTGGGGATGATATCACTGCATATGTTGTGCTTCTGTCCCAGCTTACTAGTACGGCAGCTGATGTTACTCTTCTTTCTCAGAAAGGGATTATAGTGCACCAGATGGAAAGTGACGAGGATGTATCGACTCTTTTCACAAAGCTTTTTGAGTATGTAGTATTTAACTTCAATGGTGAACACTACCTAAAGTCCCTATGTTATGCCATGGAAGCACACTACCAAAGTCGTATTAATAGGTGGATGGCATGGCTGTGGCACAATCACTTCAGCAATCCCTGGGTAGGTTTTGCCGCGATAGCTTCTGCTTTTATAGTTGTATGCAGCATTATGCAAACTGTTCTTGCTTTCTTGTCATACATGGAATGAAGTGTTGAAATATGCCACAAGACAGTTATGGATATGATTATATATCCTTGCATAAATTATTAAGTACTATCTTTGAAAATTATCGTAATATAGACTGTCAAATACAAGACTTGTTTGTGAAACTTTGTGTTATGACGATGATGTGTATCTTTTTTCTGCTCGGGACGAATCTGCTGGGCTGGGTGCATTCGATCTTTGCTAGGCTGGGTTGATGGGTCGGGCTCTGCTTGTTTGATTATTCTAAAAAAAACGTGATGGTAGTTTGATCGATTGATTGCGCCTGTTCGGTTTCTCCAGAAAACTCCAGTCTTCACACACACAGTGCATTCATTCACATTCACCCTCCTTGCAAAGATAACCACCACTCTCCATCGCTCCTCTCCATCCAACTTCCTCCTTCCTACCCAAACCAAAGAAAACCTCCATCACGCGCCATCGCATTTGGCCTCGGATGGGACCAAGCACTGTAGGAGATCTTCGACGGCAACAACACGAAGCTCTCCTACGTGCGCGAGGTGAGCACCTGGTACGCCAGTGTTGCAATCCTCAAGAATCATGTGCGTGCAGTGAGGCGGCCGCCAACCATGAGCAGTACGCCCGATTGCCAGACCTCCACCACCCACTGATAGAGAACCTGGTCTGGGCAATGGGGGAGGCCAAGGATTCCCCGGATCCATACTAGAGGGCACGCCGATACATGTACCAGAACCGCGACCAACTCCGCCTGAATTACGAGCTCAACAGGGTGGTGCGGGTGCTGCCCCTTGCTCCTCTGATGGAGATAGAGCCACCACAGATAGAGCAACAGGTGCAGGTGGAGGCGCCCAAATGGAGCAACAACAGATGGAGGTGGAGACAGGCACAAGCAGCAGGAGGAGGGAGAAGAAGCAGCTCCGAATCATGGGGCCAATTCGTCGATCACTCCGTCTTCTGAAGTTGCGGCAAGAGTGAGTCTGATGCGAGTACAACTTAGGTCTTACTTAATTTTTGCAGCAAGATCTGAACCAATATATGGGTTCAGTTAGTTTCTGAACTTAGTGTCTGGAGAACTTAGGGCCAGTTTGGTTGGTGTCCTGGGCACAACGCCTGGGAAATATTGATGCCTAGCATTGGCCTAAGAACTTGATTTTTTTGCCTGGCCAGGCCAGCATAGTAAAGCGTTGTTTGGCTCCTGAACTGGCCTGGGAGCGCTAAAAAGTCGATCTGGCCTCTGACACAGCGATTTGATTCCTCCTCTAACGCCTCGTTTCTTGGGCCTTGCGATTAATAAGCCCAAGCTGCTGCTCCAGGCAAGCCCATGCGTTCAATGTTAGTTGCCTAGAGCAGGCTAACCAAGTTTCCTTGTTTTGGGGCCAGGCTAATTGCGTTGTCATGTCCTGCGTCCACGCTAGCTCCCTCGTCCCCAGGACTTCAACCAAACAGGAGCCAGGCAGCTCCCAGGGAGGCCCTAGGCCAGGCATGAAACCTCCAGGACATGAACCAAACTAGATCTTAGTTTCTGAACTTAATGTTTGCACCAGCAGATCATTATGTGCGCTTGCTGAACTCATCTTTCTATAATATCTATCTATCATATTATATCTACCTGTCTATCTGAATGTTTGTGGTCCTGGTTTCTGAACGTTTGTTCTCATAATAGCTGAATCTTTGTGCTCATAGTATCTGAAACTTCGTGCTCACTATGGAGTTGTAGGTGTCAATGCAAAGAACTATAGTTGTGTTGTAGGTTGCTACTTGTGAGCTGCGTTGGGATTTCCCCAAAGAGAAGAGGATAATGGAGTACAGTAGAGATAAGTATTTCCCTGAGTTAATAAACAAGGTTATCAATCCAGTAGGAGAATCACACAAAGCCACACGAACAACATCCACACACACAAAAATAAATACTTGCACCCAACGCAAACAAGAGGGTTGTCAATCACCTTGGCGGTTACTTGCAAGGATTAAATCTTGTAGCGGTAGATAATAAAGTAAATTGCAAAACAAAATAAAAGAAATAAAATTGTAGCAAAGTATTTTTTTTGTGTTTTTATATATGATAAAAGTAGACCCGGGGCCATAGTTTTCACTAGAAGCTTCTCTCTCGAGCACAGAACATACGGTGGGTGAACAAATTACTGTTGGGTAATTGATAGAAAAGCGTATAGTTATGACGATATTCAAGGCAATGATCATGTATATAGGCATCACGTCCAAGACAAGTAGACTGACTCCTGCCTGCGTCTACTATTATTACTCCACCCATTAACCACTGTCCAACATGCATCTAGGGTATTAATATAATACAGAGTAACGCCGTAAGCAAGATTACAATATGTAGACAAAGTAAACCCAATCAATATGAATAAACTCGTCGTTTTATCCTTAATGGCAACAATACAAATACGTGTCTTGTCTCTTTCTGTCACTGGGATATAGAGCACCGCAAGATTGAACCCATTACAAAGCAGCTCTCCCACTAAAGATAAATCAATCTAGTTGGCCAAACCAAACAGATAGATCGGAGAGAAATACAAAGTTATAATAATCATGCATAATAAAGTTCAGAGAAGAATCAATTAATATTGATGAATAATCTGATGATATACCCACAATTCATAGGATCCCAACAAACACACCGCAAAAGAAGATTACATCGGATAAAACTCCAAGAACATCTAGGAGAACATTATATTGAAGATCAAAAAGAGAGAAGAAGCCATCTAGGTACTATCTATGACCTATAGGTCTATGATAAACTACTCACGCATCATCGGAAGGCAACAAGGATGATGTAGAAGCCCTTCCTAATCGATTCCCCCTCCGGCAGAGTACTGGAAAAGGCCTCCAGATGGGATCACAGAAGAACAAAAGCTTGTGGCAGCGAAAAAAGTGTTTCAGGCGGCTCTCTGGTATATTGGGAATATTTGGGAATTTATAGAGGTGGAATTAGGTTAAGAGGTGCCACGAGTGGCCCACAAGCTCAGGCCCCTCGGGGCGCGCCCGGTGAGCTTGTCACTCTCTCATGGCTCTTCAGGTCTTCTCCCGAACCTTCTTGTACCCCTTCTGGTATAAAAAATTAATCTAAAGATTTTTCTCCGTTTGGACTCCGTTTGATATTGATTTCTTGAAAAGCCAAAAACAAGCAAAAAAACAGCAACTAGCACTGGGCACTAGGTTAATAGGTTAGTTCCAAAAAATGATATAAAATATCATACAAATGCATATAAAACATCCAAGATTGATACGATAATAGCATGGAAGAATAAAAAATTATAGATACTTTGGAGACGTATCAAGCACCCCCAAGCTTAATTCCTACTCGTCCTCGAGAAGGTAAATGATAAAAGAGATTTTTTTTATGTGGAATGCTACCTAACATGTTTATCATGTAATCTTCCTTTTATGGTATGAATATTTAGATACGAATGATTCAAAGCAATAGTCTATAATTTGACATAAAGACATCAATACTCAGGCATACCAACAAACAATCATGCTTTCAAAATAAAAATGCTAAAGAATGCTATCCTTATAAAATCATATAGTTTCGTCATGCTCCATCTTATTAACACAAAAGATAAATCATGTACAACCCCGATGTCAGCCAAGCAATTGGTTCATACCTTTTAACGTGCTTCAACTTTTTCAACCCCCACGCAATACATGAGTGTAAGCCATGGGTGGAATAGAATGTGGTGGTAGAGATTAATAAGGGGAAGAAAAAAAGGAAGATAGTCCCACATCGACGTGGCTAATCAACGAGCTATGGAGATGCCCATCAATTGATGTCAACAAGAGTAGGGATTGTCATGCAACGGATGCACTAAGAGCTATAAGTGTATGACAGCTCAAAGTGAAAACTAAGTGGGTGTGCATCCAACTTGCATGCTCATGAAGACCTCGGGCATTTGGGGAAGCCTATCGTCGGAATATACAAGCCAAGTTCTATAATGAATAATTCCCACTAGTATATGAAAGTGACAACATAGGAGACTCTCTTTATGAAAACCTAGTGCTACTTTAAAGCACAAGTGTGTAAAAGGATAGTAACATTATCCCTTCTCCCTTTTTCTCACTTCATTTTTTTGTTGGGCTCTTTTTGACCTTTTTTTCTTTCTTTTTTTATTTCCTCACTAGGACAATGCTCTAATAATGATGATAATAACACTTCTACTTACTTACAACTCAATATTACAACTAGATAAAGCTAAAACATATGACTCTATGAATGCCTCTAGCAGTGTACCAGGGTGTGCAATGATGCTAGCGTAACATGTATGATAATGATGAACGGTGGCTGAGCCAGAAATACTATGTCAGTTATATGATCATGCAAAGAAATATGACAATGATGTTGTGTGTCATAATAACGAAATGGTGGAAGTTGCATGGCAATATATCTCAGAATGGCTATGGAAATGCCATGATAGGTAGGTACGGTGGCTGTTTTGAGGAAGATATAAGGAGACTTATGTGTGATAGATTGGATTATATCACGGGATTTGGATGCACCGATGAAGTTTGCACCGACTCTCGAGGTAAGAAAGGGCAATGTACGATACTGAAGAGGCTAGCAAATTACAGAAATGTGAGAGTGTGTATAATCCATGGACTCACATTAGTCATGAAGAACTCGCATACTTATTGTGAAAGTCTATTAGCCCTCGAAGCAAAGTAATACTATGCATGCCCCTAGGGGGGTGGTAGGAGTTAACCATCACGCGCCCCCGACCTCCACGCAAAGGAAGACACTCGATAATAAATCATGCTCTAACTTCTTAGGATAACTGGCTTCTGTAGTCCTTGTGATAGGTTTAGCTAGCTGGCTTGGCGCTAGAGTATCCTGGGGCCTATTGGTGGTCTCTAGCGCGCCCTTGTTATGCTGGAGGTGTATTCGTGTTTGAATTGCATCAATAGAAAATTGTTGCTACTGGAGAACATGATTGTTTCCAATGAGTAGCACGCCCATTTCTATTATGAGCTGGAATGTGAGGGGACTGAACTCGTCGGCGAGAAGA